GTACAATAAATGCTTTTATTTACCTTCAGTATTGAACGCAGGTAAGGAAAGAGCAAGGGCGGGGGGAGGGCAAAACTAATTCCACGCGTTGTACGGTTCCACATGGGTTTACAACTTTCCACGTGAAGCGAGATTCACTCCACACCTCTGACATAGCTAGGGTGGGTAGGGTTATTTTTAACGACGTGGAGCCCCCCGAAGGGGGGGCGGAACACACTGTCTTCACGCATACATTTTTCTATCTACATTTGGTGGAGGGGAGTGACTTATATGCGGGTAGAAAAATGTATGCGTGGAGACAGTATGTTCCGCCCCCCCCTTCGGGGGGGCTCCACTTCGTTAAAATATAACCATACCCAATCCATGTCTGAGGTGTAGAGAGTGGATCTCGCTTGCTCGGTCAATCTGCGCCGCGAGAAGAATTAAGCGTGCGCGCGCGCGCGTGTGTGTGTTCAACCCGTACCGATTGGTGCGGAAGGGGGCAGGTGTGACCTTGTAAATGATAACGGTAGTTTGTTTATGATTTTAAAGGTAGCTACACAGGCATTTTAATAAAAATTACTAAGAAAAAGTATTAAAATTTTTAGTCTTCAATTTGTTATATCTCCTAAACCAATGCCGTCCCCCACTTGATTCTTGCGGGGAATTACTCAGAAAACTCTCCCCTACAACATACCTAAGTGGCGAGGAAATCGGTGAGGTGTGACCTATTCTGCATATTTACCAAAGCTTAAAACGAATCACTTATATACGTTTTATTAACTTTAGCGAATAAGAATAAGAATAACGAATAAGAAGAAATATCCTGACAGTTTAAAAAATTAGTCCTAAAAAGGATTATGTTTTGTAATGAACTGATAAACTATGAGCAAAACTATTATTTAGTTTCGAGAGACTTATGCAAAAAATTTAATTCCTCGTGCGGAAGCGTGCATTGAGGTTGGCGAGGCTCATTTTGATAATTTATTGTAATAAACACTTTGTAGGATCAGAGTCCTTTTTTTTACAAAGAAAAATCTTTTTTCCATTTTTTTACATGTTTCATGTATTTTCTTTTGTGCATAAAGTTGTTTAGATATGTAATTTTCTGTTATAATAAAATTCTCTTATAACGTATTACTTCTGAATAACTGGACAAAACCATTAGTAGTAGGAAGATTCAATAAGTGATTTGTTTTAAGCTTTAAATAGTAACGCAAATGAAAAAAAACTGATTGTTTAGAAAGATATTTTTTTGTAAAATTACCTACTTTTAATTATTTTCATTTATTACAGAGAAAGTCTCCTTTCCATATTGAGAATAATTAAATCTTGGATAATTCTATTTATTGACGAAATTTTCTATAAGGTGTTTCCAGACAAAAGTATATGATTTTTATTGCAAAAAATTATTTGTACTATTACGATGCGTAAGAATACTGCACGCTAGCGGCATACGCGAAAGCATTGCGTTGTCGCGTTCTACTAAAGCAGCGGAGCGCTCACGTACATATCTATCGAGCGCGCGGCTCACTGACGTCTTTCCGGCTAAAAATCGGTGCTGATTCGTTAGAGTTTACTAATTTGTACTACGTTATTACGCGTTATGGGATAAAATAATTCAGGACTTTTCGATTCAGTTTTTAATAAGGAATAACGCTGTATAATTAGTGGGTGGTCTTTCAGAGGTGCCCTATATACATGTATGTATATATTTTATTGATATTACATTCGCCGCGCATGCGCGAGAAACATAGCCCGTACCGACACTCTGGGCACAAGCCATAAAGCCACAGAACACAGTCGCTACCACTGGCCATTGGCTGTCGCTAACTCGCTGCCAGTCGCTGTTGAATTACCGTAGTGTACGGTCACAACGGTCTCGCTGTTTGTTACAAGGAAGTCGACTACTCGTACACTTAACAATGGGCAACGAGGGAGAAGTCACTGTTATTCAGAATTCTGTAAGTAGTAATAGAAGAATTCGGTGTATCACTCGTGCGCACGGAAATTTATATCCGTGTTGCTTACGTAGAATGTGGAATGAGATAACCTTGAATGTATGCCGTAACGCACGCGCGGCAAACAGTTGCGTCCCGTCCTCCTGCAATGTTGCCAGAAACTGGAGAAGTAATACCAACTTGAGGAAATAGTGGCGCATATGTTATCGACAAAATTCGGCAGAGTAACATCACACGAAAGTATAGCGGTTTCTTTATTCAAAAATAAATTGAGATTTATAAATTGAATTGATTCGAACAACGGTGGAACATGCTTTGCTCGTCGCAAGCTGAAGAGAAATAAAGATTAGTCACAACCACCTGATACGATTACGAACAGGATAAGTCTGGCAACACTGTATCCCAACGTGCCCGCGTGAATCGCATTGCACTTTTTCGCGAAACCTACTTCGATCTCGGTTCTCGGGTCTCAACCTTGAAAACAATCGATTTTGTATTACTCGAGAATGGTCTTTTGTTGTAGATATAGCTTGAAAGCGCAAATCCCAGCGAAACTAGATGTAACGAGTGTATGCAATTGTGGGTAACAAACGTTCGTTTAATAATGCGTCAATGATAAACGATTTTAATTACGTCACCGTTTAATCGCGAAGACTTGAATCATCGTGTTGAAGGAATGGCGTGTAACGTGCCGCATGCGTTTTACCGAACAATTGAATACAATTACCAACGAGATAATAATAACACATTGAAGACGTGGCAATCCTCCTATGATTCGCATCGTATAATCTACAAAGCTATACATATATGTGAATTATGTACAACACGCGCGCACGCGAATTAATTAATATAAAAAAAATACCAAGGGGTAAACCGCTGACCGCAATCATATACATCAATGCCTACTAATAATTCATTATTCGTGTGTGGTTTCTTTCAACATAATTACTTGCATGAAATATGTATTTTACATCCCAACGTTATATTTCAATTTTCATTGTCTTTGACGATTACAACTAAATAATGGTTGATTAATATTCTATACGAGAAGAATGACACAAGTCAAAAGTATCAATTTTACAGGAGAATGATTTTAAATTTTCAATCTGCTTGCAGATCGTATGCAATTGGAATCACAATAATTGTGTTCACTCTTTTCCTTTTCTTACCTTGATAATAAATCTTTCTATATAACGTGAGAATCGAAGTTTTCTTTTAATCGTTTTCCAAGGAACACGTCGTAGTCAAAATGACATCATTTTGACGTCATAATTACATCACGCCAGAAAAAAAGTTAATATGAAGATATTTGGTTACAAAATTTGATTGTTGACGTCAGTATATAAAACTTTTTGTCAAAACTTTTGTCATAAAAAGTGCACTCTTTTACACTGTGTTTATGGTACAACTACTAAACATTAATATTTTCAGCCTGTTTGAAAGACTAGATAGCATAGATTATACATTTAAACTAAATTACATTTTTATATGCAAAGAAGAAACTTGTTTACGTCTAACAGAAAGCGCAAAAATATAGTTTTCATAAATACAAAAGTAAAACAACTTAATAGTATATAAATTTTTGTATTACAACTAAAAACTATAAGAAACTCATTTACTGATCGAAGTATACAAAGAATAAAGAATAAAAATCTAACTAATTTGTATTATCAACGCAGTTATCTTTTCGTCACTGAACAGCATATATCGCTATGTTGGAGTCAATTATTCGTCACTTAGAAATCGCGTGACCATTTTGAGTCATAATACGAACATTTTAACTTTTTATTGACTTTAGTATGTTTCTTGGATCCTTTTCATTGTCTTTATTATTTTTTAATGAAATACAATCTTTGCATTGGGAGAATGAAAAAAATTTTTGTATAATAACTACACTTGCGATATTTTTCTGGATAAAAGTACATATCCCACACAGCACAGAAAGATTGTAGGAAGATTGCAGAAATGTTACATTGCAAGATTGCGATATTGCAGCAACATTGCGCAACATTGCTGCAACGTTTCTGGAGGATTGCAGTAACGTTGAAATGTCCGCCCTCAGAAAGATTGCAGTGCAACATTATACCAATGTTTGCAGTGCAATATTTTTGGAATAATTTGTTGTACGTAAGCAGAGAATTTACTAATTACATCCGGGCCTTTTTCAATACATAGCAAGCTATTGCGAAGCAACCTAAGGAGGTTATGTCGCTTCGTAATAGATGGAGATTGCGAGCAACACCGCACTGATCAAGTACTTAATAATTCGCGCATTGGTATCAACAAAAATAACATTATAAAATTTTCGTAATTAGAAAAATTGTTTAAATAGAAAATATAGTAAAATATAAAGGAAGGAGAGAGTGCCAATGTGAGCCACAAAATGAACAGAACTCGGTTCACACAATATAAATTCCTCAATTTCTATTTAATAATATACGTTTCGACCCTTCTTCGGGTCTTCTTCTGTAATCTACAAATAGAAGTGTGAATATAATAAAATTTGTAATATATGTATATGTATATAGCTGGGAGCAACAAAATCAAACAAATACCTCGCCCAATCAAAATATAGATCGGAACCGCATCGAAGTCATTCCTCGAGAAAATATAGTATTTTCATTATTTTTGAAACATTACTGCAATATTGCTATCGAAAGTTTGCAATTTTATATCCCTGCAATGTCTCTGCAAGATTGCACTGCAATCTGCAAGATTGCAACGTTTCTGCATAACTGCAAACATCTGTGCTGTATGGGATATGTTTTCTCTCGACATGATAAATACATAAAAACTCATATTTTTTATTTGTGTCACGCTTCTCGTGCAAAAGTGATATTTTCGAAATAAAAGATATGCACACAAGTTCTCAGATAGCCAGTATGCTTAAGCAATGTATGGAAATAAAATGCCAGCAACTGATTTTGCTGGCTCTTTGCTGGGAATATGAATTCAATGTTTGAGTGGTTTAAGTACAGCTAGCATAATGTTAACATATTGTTGTAGTTAAATGCACCGATAAAGAGAGAGCACATCGAATAGGCATACTGTTAACAAAGAATTAGCATATATTGTTTAAAATTTTCTACCAGATATAAACATGTTATATCTATTACATCTGACCAAGCACTTAATGCTAGCATAATGTTTGAATCATGTAAATGTTTTATTTCTGACACCAAATGCTAGCAAACAACAGCACAATAAACGACATAGATGCATAGCAACTATAGCAAGATGCTAACATTTTTCTTAGCAATGTGAAAGCAACTTATGCTCACACTGGCTATCTGGGTTCCTCTTTAATTATGAAACGATTTGAGCAGCATTCCCTCGATAAAAAAGTTTTTCTCTGCAAATTTAGTAGATTTCTAAAGCTGCACAGTATTTTATATCACGCGAATAACGCATATGTGAAGACTATATTATATCGGGTTAGATCAGGCTAGGAATGTGCGAATGTTTTCGGAGCAGGAGTGCAGGAGGATGGGATCTTTTTCCAGTTTATGCATTTATTTGGCAATAATCATATATAAATAATGTGAAATTTATATTTGACCTTATAGTTTATTACGTTCAACTCTACACGTTTTATCATGTTTGTTGATAACTCATTAAAAAATAAACAGCTAAAGGTTTTAATATTTAGATGGAAATAAATATCCTGTTTATTGCTAAATAAATGCATTTTATAACGGAAGAAAGAATGTATCATTCTTCTGTACCTAACATTCCTAACTTGATCTTAAGATCATAACCTAATCTAACCGGACCTGACCTGAGGTTGTGCGGGATGACGTGTTAGCTCTGTGCTAATATGAGTGATTAGTAATAGTAGGGTCATCGGCAAGAAGACTAAAGACCAGCAGTGATGGAAGACGGGTCGGGTTTTTTGCGTATGCGCGGTGAAAACAGTAACAGTAAAATACTTAATACGAGAAAAAAGGTTTACTGTTGATCGCCTCTACATAAAACTCATATAAAAATTTTTGAATTTAAGGAAATAAAAGCTACATATTTGTAAAGATATATAAATATAATGACGCATACACACAAAGGTATATTTACCTTTAAGCCTATCACATAATGCCAGGCAACAGGCAGTAGGAATAAGGAATAGAATTTTTGACGCGTTGAATTCGTCGAAAATTTTCTTCCAATCAATGGCTGTGTTCAGCAGAAGTCAGTGCTTAATAAGCGCTTTATGCTGATTGGATAGATCTAGAAGATATAGCTCTATTTCAGCACCGATTTGAAAGTATAATCCAATGAGCGCAAAGCGCTTAGCAAGCGCTAACTTCTGCTGAACGCAGTCAATCCAACGCGTCAGAAATTCTATTCCCTGTTCCTATTGCCTGTTGCCTGGCAATTGTGTGATAGGCTTTACTTTAACCCTATAGCCTATCCTTCTCGTCGAGACTTTCGCGGCTTTCGCGATAATCACGTCATAGACTACGTTTCCACCGAGGGTCAGAATCGGGTTAAAGTTGGGTCAGAATCGGATTGGGGTTTGGTGTTTTGGGCCGGTATTCATAGTCGATTCTTATTTCAAAATCATTTTAAGTGTTGTCTTAAGATGCTAATACGGCTCTGTGATTGGTTGAAAACACATTAAAAGTATACTTAAGATGATCTTAAATATAAGAACGGACTGTGAATACCGGCCTTGGTGTTTCTACCGCAAGAGCGCTCACCCCAACCCGACTCTGATCCTCGGTGGAAACGTAGCCATACTTTTATTCGGACCCAAATTGGAACATTTAGGCAAGAGTTTACTCTCCTGTACGGGAATTCTGTAACTTGCTATCGAGGTTTTTCGATAACGTTAACTAGGAACAACCAATGAAAATCTGCGTCTTTTTCGAAGATCGTCCTCGCCATTGGCTGTCGCTAGTTAACGATACCGAAAAGCATTGATTGCAAGTTACAGAATTCCCGTACTGGTCTCTAGTCTTCTTGGTCATCGGTTCGATCCCGGCCCTCGTCCCGTATATTTTCCCGTT